GCTCCTGCGCTCACCCCACGTCAGGCGACTCCCAAGCAAACCCGACCCCATCTCATCCCAATGCCAGACGTGTGCCTGCAACAGTTCACGAGATACCCACTGGGCCTCAAATCTCCCCACAGACTCAGAGTTTAAATCAAACACTGGGTTTGCTCAAGCCTCTCTCAGCCCAAGGCGACGTCGAGACAGGGCCGCAGCTTGGGGAGTGCAGGGTGGTCCCCAGAGAAGGGGGCTGTGACTGGGACACAATGAGGCGAGAGCCAGCTCTCAGTGCAACGGTGCCACGGCGGGGGAGCCACGGCGGGGGAGCCCCGTCCAGAAGCCTCTGCAGACGGGCTGCGCCGCTGGAGGGGAGCGCTTTGAATAAAGAGCTTTCTGCGGTTGCCTAGCGCCCAAGGCTCTGACTGCTAACCAGAAAGCAGGAGGTTCAAACCCACCAGCCTCCTCGGAAGAAAGGCTGGGCAATCTACTTCCTAGTGATACTGCCTCGGAAACCTAAGGAGGGGTCGCCCTGAGTTACGTCTGGCTCCACGGCACATAACGACGACGACAACATTTGCTGGTTGTAAGAGAGGCTCCAGGGAGCTGGGCTTCCCTGGCAGAGGTCCCCACACCTGAGTCCCAGAATCCCTGAAGGGCTTCCCCCTCACTGGCTGCCCCACCTCCACAGGGCCCAATTCCACGGGTCCGAGAACATGCATCTCCACCACACAGGTGGCTTCGGTGGTCAGCCAGGCCAACAGAAAGGACCGCGGCCCAGGCGCCTGGCCCAGGCTGGCTGTGGACGTGCTGCCCTGGCGGTGGACAGTGAGCAAAAGTCACACAGCAAAAATGTGGCTCAGCAGTGCTACAGGGACAGGGAGAGAGGGGCTGGCTCCTGGCATCTGCTTCCTGATGACCACGAACCTTTGTGGACCGTGGGGCCCTTTGCTCCATTTCAGGGTGCAGTGATGTCCATGTGGAGCTGGGGGCGGGGGCTGTGAACCCAAGGCCCCCACCCGTGGCGGCTGCGTAGGGGCAGACAGGGATGTGTGGGGACAGGGCAAAGGCCAGCTGGGAGGGAGGCAGGCAGGTAGGGAGATTAGGGGATGAGGCCTGGCCCTGGAAGGACTCAAAGTCCAGGAAGGGGCCCTGGGGCCGAGCCTAGGGGCCCCTGTGCTAACTGCTGGCTAGTGGGAGCATGCAATGGGGGTTCTAGGCAAGGCGTGAGAGGGATGGTGAAGGGCTGCCTCTGAGCAGGGATTGGGGACCCGGAGTCCTCAGAGAGGCAGGTGGTGCTCCCCCCTTATCCAGGGAAGAAGGAAGAGCTCGAGAGGAGTCAGGGCCAGAGGCGAGGACAATCGGAGGGGTGAACAGCAAGACCACCAGCAGAGGCCAGCAGGGAGTGGTGGTGGTGGGGCAGTGAGGGGAGCGGGGTCCGGGCTCCCCCTCCCAGCTGACCCTCCCGCCCAGCCCTCACCTGGCAGGGGGCTCCCCTGTGTACTGAGAACATATGGTGCACCCTCAGACTACTGGGGGGCAGGAGGAGGAGGGGCACACAAGGTGGTCAGGAGCGGGGGGGTGAGGGGTGGACAGAGAAAGCCACTTTGGTGGGGAGAGGGTCTATCATAAACAGCCTCCCCCCCACACCCCACTTTGCGTCTAAAACTGTGTGCACGCCCACCTGCCCTGCTTTCAAGGGACAGGTGTCAGGAGAAAGCAGATTACTGTCCAAGGCTGGAGGCTGTGACCGGCGCTCGGGGAGTGTGACCCAATTCTGAGCTATTCTCAGCGCGGGGGCAGCACCACGTCTGCTAGGCAGCCTGACTTTGAAATGCCCTCGTCCCCGACGGGACGTGTGGCCTCCCCAGGGCACAGATGCGACGAGGGGCCTGGCGCAAGGCCCCTGCCTGAGGGTCTGCCGACGTCACGTGTGCTCCCAGGCTGTGAGAAGCCCCTGAAGCCACCCTGCGCTGCTGCCCTCCAGCTGGGAGCCCCGGGCTCGGGGCTTCTCCAGGTCCCATCCAGCATCTGGGAAATGGGCCCAAGGGCAGGGCCCTGCTGTGGGGACAGCCCTGCCCTGGCCCGTCCCCACACCCATGCGCCAGCTAGGAGTCTCTCTCCTCCTTGACGTGGGGCCATCATGTGGCATGTGGCGACCCACGGGGTGACAGCCATGTGATGCGACCCAAGGCCTGAGAAGCGCCTGTGTGCCTGGGCTCACTCTCTGTGCACATCTGGCTCTGGTCCCCAGAGGAACCTGGCCGGAGCCGAGCGCAAGAACGCACCGGTGCCACTGGCTGGGCAGTGAGCCCCAGACATGGGAGAGCCAACGGCCTTCTCCAGCTCTGGACAGAGTTCTGGGGTGCTACCTGTCAAGCCACACATCACACATCCAAGGCCCAGGTGGCGTCTCACAGCCATGGTTTCTGAACAGCATACAACTCTCAAGGTGGGTTTGCAGAGAGGCCTCCATCCCTGATCTCTCCTTACCCTGACCGTGAAACACCTGAGTGCACAAGACAGCCCTCAGATGGACCCCAAAATTCTGCCCTTAGAACCTGAAAGAAAAGGGAGGGCTTCCTGGAGGTGGTGGGGGCAGCCTGTGCTTTGGGGGTCCCGGCTCTGCACCCCCCCAGTGTGTCACTGGGGTTCCGGCCCCATCCCCGACACAGTCTGTATTGCAGGGGTCCCAGCATCTGGGACATGCTCAGTCCATTCGCTGGATGAGAGCCCCCCCCACGAGGGGGCAGAACACCGCTTGCCTGCAGCCTGGCTCCCTCATGCTGCCCACAAGCCAGGACAAAGTCTCCCAGCTTGCCCAGCCTGCAAGGGCGCCTGGCACGGCAGGCAGGGTGGGCGGAGGGCAGGGCCTACGAGGCTCACTCCAGCCCAGGGTGGGGCTGACGTGGCGCGCTTGGGGCAGGGGAGCCAGGTCTGAGCCCAGGAGTCAGGCGGTGGCCAAGGTGTGGGTCAGCTCCCCAGCTCGGGGCCAGGGTAGGGCACTGGGGACAAGCCTGGGCGGGTGAGAAGTTTCCAAGGAAAAACTTAAGGGCCAGGCAGGGAGTTCCCATGTGAATCCTTGCCCTGTGACAGGCCAGTGGTGCTGACTCAAGGTCACTGGCCTGCTGATGGTCATCTACTCACCACCCAGGGTGTCCAGCCGCTGGCCCACCCGCTGGGGTCAGCCCCCCATCCGCACAACGGGGGTGACACCTGGCTCCTGCCGCTGCTGTGGGATGCCAGCTGCGACCCTACTGGAGCCCAGGGAGCCTGGCAGGGCCCTGGCTGGTCCCAGAGAGCAGGGGTAGCACAGGGGCACTGTGGCGGGGGCACGCACAGTGAACAGGCTCGGAGCCAGGGGGCTCCAGGCGGATGGCGGGGCAGGTGTGGCAGTGCTGGGCCTAGCAGCCAGACCCCCACTCAGACCCTGTGGGATGGGCTTTCCCACAGCCCCTACAGTTCACGCCTGGGCTGCCTGCACGCCACCCCATATGGAACCGAGAATATCCGGTCGTTCCCCGACCTCTGGTCCTCACCCGTGGGGCAGGCCTGCTTCCACAAAGGCCATTCCTGGACAGCTTAAGGCTGTCTCACCCCGGGGCCCATCTCTACCAGCCCCACACTTTCGGGGCCACCTGGCACTGGAGTTACCCACCGTCATGTTGAATCTGGCTTGAGGCCACTAGGCTGAGGCCTGGGTCCCTCCTCTGCCCTGAGCTAGGCATGGGGTCAGAGGTCAGGGCAGCCTGTGAAGGGGGATAGTTCCCTAGGCCAGGGTCAGTGTGTCCAGGGGCCCTGAGGAACAGCTGCCACAGGTCTTGCCAGGCCACTCAGCTCCAACCCAAGGTGGTTGGGAGGGGGAAGGGAGGCAGCCATACCTAGGGGTGGAGCAAAGAGGGTCTGTGGGCTGCAGCCTGGATGCATCGCAGGGACCAGGATGCCCGGGAAGGGGTGCCTCCCGCTTTGCCACCTTCCTGGGCCTCTCTCCACAGCAGCCTGGGTGATGAGTGCTCAGGGGCTGCCCCACCCCCGTGAGTGGTCCCACCCCGCAGGCCCAAGGCCTCCCACTCCCACCCGGACATCCACGCTGCCATGGGCAGTAGAGCAGGGCCGCCAGGCAGGGAGGGGCAGGCCAGGACTCGGGGGTGCGCACACGCACGCACACTCGCTCCTCCCACAATCCCCTCCCCGGGGACAAAGGCCCTTTCTGTGGCCACACACTCGTGCCTTTGTGCACCAGGTCCCAGCTGTTGTCTAGGGTCTGTGCGGCGACAGGCGACAGGCGACCGGAGATGCAGGCAGGACCAGCCCGTTGAGAGCAGCCCAGCGTTTACTGCACATCAGGCGGGGGGGGGGGGGGGGTTTGCCAGGGGCCCTCAGCATCCCCCAGTGTCCCACCATCAAGCCCCTGCCCTTGTGACAAAGGCCTGCCTGCTCCCTACCCCACCCTACTATCCCCATGGGGGGCAGGGACCCCAGGAGTGCTGAGATCTGACGGGCCCCAACAGGCACACTGCAGGGATATCCCCCCCAGGGGTCCACACCCACTCATACCCTTAGGCCCCCAGGAGGCATGGGTTGGGGGAGTGAGGAGGTGGAGGAGCTGCCCCCCCACCAAGAAGGCACCCTGCCCCCACTGGTGTGGTCATCCGGGAAAGGGGGTGAACCAAGTGCCCCCATATCATTGGCTGTGGCAGCAGAGGCTGTCGGCAACAAGACAGCCAAGAGGCCGGATGCTGGGCACGGATGACGTACAGCCCGTGCTCCTGGCTCCCCAGAGGGCAGGCAGGCAGGCTGGGGCCGGTTCCTGGATGCTGTTCCTCCTTAGGGCCACCCAGGAGCCCAAGCTCCACCCACTCACCCTTTCTAAACACAGGCCAGCCAGGCATCCCGGGCCATATAAGGCGGCCTCTGCCGAACACCACGGCCCCACGGTCCTCCCGGGTCCCAGTCTCAAGTCCCATGGTGTCCCCCAAGTGTTTCTGCTCCTGGCGCCGGGCTCCCTGGCACGCTGCCTGCTAGCCTGGGATCTTGGTGGCGAAGGTCAGGTAGCCAGTGTGGCCTACAGCCTCCTTCATAGGGGTGCCACTGCGGAAGGGGCTGGCCTCGGCGGAACCGGCGCCCAGGTCGGGCAGTGGCAGGCTGACTGTGCGCACATTGTAGACCTGTGGCAAGACCTCCACAGTGCTCAGCTCCGTGAAGCCACAGGCCGCCAGCGCCTGGCACGTGCGCTGGACCTGCTCGATGCACGGCGAGAAGGAGCAAAAGCGCCCACCTGTGGGGGGGGCCAGGGTCAGAGGGTGAAGGAGCCCACGCGGCCCCAGAGCCCCTGCTGCCAGCCAAGGTGGCCACCAGAGTCCCATTTCCTCTGATCACAAAGCGCTGGGCCCCAGAGCTGAACGGCCCCTCCTTGGGATCTCTGTGGGAAGGGATGCGGGCCCTGTGAGCCACCAGCTCGGCCACTTGGAGGACACTGTCCCCCCACCACACACAAGGGCCAAGCCCAGCCACTGCAGGGTGGAGGTGGGGCAGGAGGGCAGGGCGGAGCCTGAAAGGAACAGCTCCAAAAATACTGCAATAGTTAGTAACAGGGCTGTGAGGGGGCAGAGGAGGCTGTCACAGGAAATTAGAGGCTGTCACCCGCTCCTGGGAACACGCAGGCGCCCACTGGAGGGGCCTCAGAGGGTGACAGGGCGGGGGCGGTGCCGACAGTGCCTTCCTGTCTCTCCTGCAGAGCCTCTCCTGCGCCCCCAGCTGTCACTCATCTTGGCCCCTGAGGCCCCGAGGGGGGTCCTGGCAGGGAGGGCCCCAGGGAGGAGTGTGCTGGAACCTGTGTGCACTGCTATGGAAACAGGCACAGTGCACACAGCCGCGCCGCAAGGGGTCGGGGGACAGCAGCCAGGACCGAGAGGGGCTCTCCTGCACCTGCCTCCTCGGGTCGGGGCGGCCTCACTGGTGTCACGGAGCAGGGAGAGACCAAGGGGGCCCATGGGCCAAGCTGGAAGGGTCAGAGGCTTGGGGAAGTAGGGTGGGGAAAGCAGGGGTCTCTTGTTTTTCTCCCACCCGCCTCGGAACCCAGGCCACCTTCACAGAGACCAGAGACACTGGATCTTTGGCCCAGGCTGAGAGGGGGCAGGGAGCACTGGCTGCTGCTGTCTCCCCAAGATGGGCCTGGCCCCGCCCCAGGGTCCTCGTCCTCCACCCAGCCTCCCCCTCCCACAGCACCTCTGGGCTGGGAAGGAAGGGGGGTACCTGGGCAGCCGAGCCAGCTCCTTCACCAGAAAAGGAAAAAACCCAGCCTGGCCGCAGTCCACCTGGCTCAGGGCCACCTGCTGGTCGGCCGCCTCCACCCCCAGGCACCATCTTTCCCCTAAAAGGCGCCAGACTGGGCCCTATGGCTGGTGGGGGAGGGGAGACTCTGCAGGCCCCAGCACTGAGGACTGGAGGGGGGTGCACTAGCCTGTGACCTCTGACCTGTGGTGACCCTGTGATGAGCTCTGGCCTCTCACTCACTTGCCAGATTCCCCAGGGGCCTGACATCACTTACTACAGGGTGGGGTTCCCTCACTGACTCCTTACTTATCCACCCAGGTGACATCCTGGGGGGGCCCCGCCACGCTGACCCCCCTAACTCAGGCCACCTTGGCTGGGCGGCTCACAGAACCCAAGGCCTGCCTGGCCTGGAGCTCAGGCTGGCCCCCGGCCACCCTACAACCCGGCCCCAGTGCACCTTCAACCTTGAGGGCATCCCAGGCGTGGCCCACGGCCTCCCAGGGAGACGGGATGTCCAGGAAGACGGCGTCAGCGGCGTGGCTGACACCGAAGCCGCTGTGGCACACGTCCTGGTTGTGCACGGTCACCCAGCGGCCAACCCGGTGCTGCTGGAACTCCTCCCGCGCCTTGTCTGCTCGCTGCTCGTGGAACTCGACCGTGTGCAGGTGGCCCGTGGGCGCGATGGTGCGAATGATGGCGTGCGACACAGAGCCGCTGCCGGTGCCTGCAGGCAAGGAGTGGGCATCAGGTGGCCGCCACCACAGCCACCTGACTCTGCTCTGGCTGCTGGGTGTTGCAGCAACCCCACTCAGGGCACACCTCAGCCTCAGGGCCTGTGCACACTCCCCTGACCGCCTCGCTGGAGACCCCCCTCCGAGCCATCTTCACACGCGTGACACCGACGGCACCAGGAGCCTCGTGACGGAGCCTGGTGTCCCTGCCATGCTGCGAGGAGCGGTGATGCTGGCCCTGTGTCCTGTGCCACACCCCCCCCCCGCCCTCCTTGTGCTGGGCACAGCCAGCCTCTGCACCACCCCCCCGCTGTCCTCCACCCACAGCCGGTGTGGGTACCTGACGTCCACTTCAAAGGGCTCGACCAGGCCACGAGGAGAAACCAAGCCCAGAGACGGATGGCCTGAGCCCCAGGAGTCGGCAGCAGCAAGCAGGGACCGTGGCGTGGCCCAGGACACGATGGGGATCTAGCCACATGTGGGACTCGTCTCACCTAGACCTCAAGAGTTAGGGCCCTCCCACCTCTATGCATGTCTGAGTGGGTGCATGGGGGGAGGGGAGCTGGCACCTCCTCTCACACCCAGTCCTGGGTCAGCTGCGATGGTGCTCACATAGGTAGGCAACAGGCGAGGACCCTGCCACAGCTGGGCGTGGGACAGGCCTCTACCTATAACGTACCCCTTGGAGTAGCCCTGGGCCTGGGGCCCCCTTCACTGCCATCAGGGAGCCCTGGACCAGATGTCCACCACCTCAGAGAACAGAACACGGGCATTAGAGCCAGCACCACGCTCCGGGCGGCCCTGACACAGGCCCCTCTCAGGGTCAGTGCCTCCCCAGACTCTACTAGGCCGGGTGCATTGGTCGTTGCTCACACGGGTGTCAGTCCCCCCCTAACAGGTTTCCCTGCAGTCAAGGCCGCAGCAAGGTCCTCTCCAAAAGCAACCATGGCGTTGGCCTGCGCCTCAGGTCCCGTGGCTGGGCAGCCACCCTCACCTCTGCCGGACCAGGCTTCGCAGGTACGCAGGGCTGGCGCCTCACGTCTCTGGCCAGCCCAGGCCACTCTTCTAAAGCCACACTCCGTGCCACCTCACCCAGCCTCATTTTCCTCCACAGACGATCAATCTTTAGACATGCCACACGATTTACCTTCAGGCTGTCTGTCTGTCTCCCCCAACTAGTCTGGAAGCATAAGAAGAAGTCTGGCCAGGAAGCAGGTGGGTGGCTCAGGGAGGACAGATCCCCATCCTGGGCCACTGGGGTGCAGAGGCAGGGCAAGAGGTCAGGACCCAGCAGCCAGGCCCATGTGCAGGAATGCGGGATGGATGCTGGCTCTGACCACCCCCCTCGTGTCCACCTCGTGGGGTTCTGTGAAGGCAGCGTGAACTCACCGGACTCACAGACCACAGAGCCGGGCCGCAGCTCCAGCATCATGGTAAGCAGAGCGATATCAGTGGAGTACAGGATCTGCGTGCGGTGTGGCAGATTCAGCGTCCAGAGCTCGGGTGTGGGGTGCAGCACGTACACCCAGCCGCCTCGGCCACAGGTCACCTTGGAGCCAAAGGGGCGGCCGATGAGGTCGGCCGAGTGCCGCAGGACGCCGTGCCGGGTCTGCGTCTGGGCCCCCCGCTGCACACGCACGGCCACCATGGCGCCGTGGCCCAGCGACAGAATGGCCGTGTCACCCTCCTTGATCAGCTCTTCGTACTCCACAAAGCTCATGGTGCCAGGGCCTGGGGAGGAGCAAGTGTGGGCGTGAGTAGGCAAAGGGACCGGGAGGCAGGGTGTGGATCAGGGGCCCGGCTGGATCAGTCCCTGGCACTGCCCAATACATGGCCACCTCCAACCACCAGGTCAGCACCCCGGCCTGACAGCTGAAGCCCTCTGTGGTCTGGGACATGGGACAGAGATCAGCCAAAATCACAGATGAAGCGACTGGGCATGGAAATTTTGGGGGAGGGACTCAAAGGTCCCCACAAATAAGGTCCCTCTCGTCCTCCTTCCAGGAGCCGGGCTGCAACCCCCAAGTGGGAGATGAATGGGTGGCATTTGCGGCCTCTCCCTCCCACCAGAGGAGAGCAGTCAAGTGGCCTGTGATCACCTCCAAACGAGGCTTGATTTCACGGTACCACGACACGCCAGTCTCCCCCTAAGCGGGCAACTCGCCGAGGGGATAAAGGGTCGATAAGCAGAACCTAGGGACCCGGAGCGAACCGCAAACGCAAACTCCGGCCCGGCCTGTGCAGAAAGGGGATGGCAGGCCAGCAAGGACTGGGGATCCCTGGAGGCTCGGGGGCGCAGCGCGGGGCCTGCGAGAAGCCCACCCACGCGCAGCCACAGTCAGTTCCCGCGGGGCTCACCAGCAGAGCTCTCCGCGCCTGTTCCCGCAGAAGCCACACGTGGCTCCACGACGCTCTGCGACGGCGGCCACGCTTCTGGCTCCCGCACGGCGCGCGCCAATGACGTCTAGTAGGCCCCGCCCCCGCGCGCTGGGTCCTGGGATGGCCGGGCCGCGCGCCCTCCCCTACCCGGAAGAACCCTGGTCGCTGTAACTTTTTAGTATGAATTCCTCAGATTTTGCATGCGCGCGGCCGCAGAGGACAGAGGACAAAATCCCGCTCTCCCATCGCGGGGACGTCCCAGCCGACGACACTGCGGGCCTTTTAGTTGTTATCTGTGCCCACGAGGCGCATGCCGGGGCGTTGCCATGGTACCGGGCGTTCTGAAGGCCGTGGGGCCCACGGGACCGACCCGGGGGAGCTGCGCCATCTCTGACGCGGACATGTTGTTGCACAGCGCTCTGTGCACACCCAGGACTATTCCCAGGACTCAGGAAATGGGGGCGTTGTGAGAGGGCGGCCCACTAAGTTCCACTGTGGTTAGCCGCAGGCCCGGCGGGCGTCTGGAGGGAGCTGCGGCCCTGGGTCCCTTGCTTCCGCAAGCCGTCGCGTCACTGTTGCAAAGGAGGGAAGGCGCCCTGTGCCCACCGCGAGGCCCAGGGCTGCCGAGCGCTTGATGGAGGGTTCACTTTGGGGTCTGGCCTGTGCAGGGGCCCAGTGGGGCGTGGGGGGCAGAGAAGGAAGTGGAACAGGGCCCTGTCTCATCCGAGCTGATTCAGAGAAAGGTCCTTGGGGAGCATACGTAGGGGAGACATGGCTGTCTTCATACTGCCCTCAGCTCCTGTGGCCAGGGCGTGGCCTGTGACTCCCAGAGACCAGCGAGAGAGAGAGAGAGAACACACACACACACACACACACAGGGCAGGAGCTTAGCTTGGCCTTGAGCCCAGGGTGTCTTCCCAGCCAGCAGTGAGCCAGGAAGGACCCGGCTGTACCCCTCAGCTCCTAGGCTCCCCCAGCCTTGCCTCCTGGTGGAAGGAGATGGCCAACCCTAGGACCAGCTCCCACTCAGAGCCCTGCCAGCGTATTTTCTTGCCAGACCTCAGGTCTGGAGGCCCCAGGAGTCACCTGTAGGCCTTCCCCTGCTCATGTCCCTGTGTGGTCAGCATCTGGGCCCCTGCTACCTGAAGCCTGCACTGCCTGATGCCTCCAGTGGCCGGCCTGTGTTGCTAACTCACTCCTTGATGCCTGAATCAGCCCCTAATTGGTCCTGGGGGGAGGGGAGCTTGACTTTCCACTTCTCCTGGGAGTTCCCCTTCCCCAGCTTAAGAGACTAAATTAGGATGTGCTGGCTCAGTGGTGGTTTCCTGTGGCTGCACTTGCCAGTTGCCTAGCTGTCCATGGCTGGCTGGTCAGTTCTGGTGACCCCTCCTCCAGACAGCTTCCCCCAAGTTACTCCATCTGAGTCCCCAAACACCACCAGCTCCCCCAGGCCCCAGCTGACTCTCGGAAGCCCTGGAGGGTTTGTATCTCGGGCTCTGTCCACAAGAAGTAATGCTATAATGTGCCCCGCAAAGCACTGTCTCCTTGAATCCTACCCCACGATCCTGTAAAGGAGGGACCACCTCACAGATGGGGAAACAGGCTCAGAGAAGTTAAGGAACTTGCCTAAAGTCACACAGCCAGTCTGGCCAAAATGGGGCTGGGATTTGAAGTCAGGCCACCTGGTTCAAATTTAAAGGAAAGGGGATAGCCCTCAGGAAGCCCTGGAGAAGAGGGTCAGGGTCACCAGGAGGAGGGCAGACACTGAGGTTGACCACTGAGGGTCCTCTGCCTACAGCCCTGCTAGGGCCGGGCGACCCGAGGTCCCGGGAAAAGCCTCCTGCTGCTGTGCTCCATGACCCCGAGGTGGTCCCTGGCCCTCTCCCGACCCCACCAACTTCCTGTTGGGCTGCAACAAACCCAGGGCCTTCGGGGTCAGAGGAGGTGTTGGGACAGCCCCCACTGCCACTCTCTGGATACAAGCTTGAGGGCATCTCTCCATTGCTCCGTCTTGGAGCCAACCTGCCCTCCCTGGCTGCACTCCCGTGCCACTGAGCTGTCCTTTGAAGGTTTGGCACCGCCCTCCAGGGCCTGTGGTCAATGTGTAACTGGGTGTGACTTCTGAGGAACCAAGGCCACAGACTGGCTCAGTGATCTCACTGGCTCCTCTAGGACGCCGCCAGACAGGCTCCTGGGGGCCCTGGGGAGGGGGAGGGTCCACAGCTGACAGCTGGCCTCAGTGCACTGGGTGCTTCTGGCTGGGACCCCCAGGCCCCTGCCCAGGTGCCAAGCAGCCTCCGCCTGGCCAGGGGCCCCCTGACACTTGGGCCCCGGGGGCTCGAAGGATTTGGCTCCCCCTGCACCTCTGCCCCGAGTCCCCATTGTCAGCCTGCCCTCCGCTGTCGGCTGTCGGCTGTGTCCGGTTCAGGCTTGCCTAGGCTCCTAGCGCCGCAGGGCCAGGCACTGTAGGACCTTGACGGGGAGCAGGACCTCTGACACCCTGTCGCCCAACTTCTGAACCCCCCCCCC